CGTCGATACCGATTGGAATACAAGCAAGCATGAGGTCCGCAGGTAAAGTCTCATAACTCGCTTGGAATCAATCCGCAACCACACCGGAACGGAATTCTACCATGTCTCCGTCCCCGTTCCTATTCTTGTAGCCAGCGCCAATCGAGTTGAGCATAAGCATATTTGCGCTTGGCATCACGAGGTTCGCCTCCCTCTTGACCTCGCGGCCTGTGCCGATTCCTTCACAAAGCCTGTTTATCATAGATTGTTCACTCTCCTCCTTCCAAGTGTTCTTTGAAGAGCCAGCATCGAGGATGGGATGCACACATTGCCTAGGTAGATAATGTTATCGGCTATTATGCGTGTTTATGTCCACCTGCTCTTGGCACAGGCTTCCCGGTAGCATCCGACGTCGATGCGAAGGGCAAGGACGAAGGACGAACCATGTCATGCGACAGTAATTCCAAACAACTGGCTGGAACAGAGACTTTCAGAGAAACAATCAAATCACAAGACCATCAAGATGAAAAATACCTACAGACACGGCTGCACTATTGACTCGTAGCCCTGCATACAGCCGAACCACTGAGCAGTCATCCAGGACATAAAAAGAACAACTGCATCGTCAGGACATTGTCGTGCTGGCTGGCCTGGAGAGAACGGCGGTATACGGAATGTCCGGAATGGCAGGCACAGCATGTCGCGGGGGTGGCAGCTTCCGTGGAGGCAGGAGCTGCGCGGATCTCGGGCTGTGACTGGCCGATCCAGGGCCCGGCAGGCAGGGCCGCGAGTCTCGAATCGGGAAAGCGCGACACTGGTGATGTCAGTTGCGTCAGGCGCGATCAGCCGCTGCCGGCTTGGCGCAGCTGGCCGCGTGTCCCGTGCCTGCATTGGCCAGTTTAGTCCGGAGGTTATTCTTATGCACGCCTTTTTATTCCTGCTCACGTCCGGCCGGGCTGTCTGCGCCTCGTGGCCCGGTTTCGCTGCAAATCGTCGCTGCCCTGCCGTCATTCTCCTCTCTGAGTTGGCGGGAGCGATTGTGTCTTTCCTGAGACGAGAATTGGTGAACAAATCCTCCTTGATGCGCCATGCCTCGAGACGACTAGATAATAGGATTCTCTAAGACCACCGTCGTCGCCGCTGCCGCCACCACCTGCACCTTTGTGCCATGGACGAGCCTGCGGTGCCCTCGACGGAGGGTCCTCCTCCCCTGCCATACTCTCTCCGCCAGCGGAAATTGTCCATCGCCTTCTTCTGGACGCTGTTCGTCATCGACACCCTGGTTCAGCCGCTGGTGCTGTATTATGCCCTCCGTTATGGCACCGATCTGTCGCTGAACATGGGTACGTCATGAGCTACCCTTGGGCTTGGTTAGAGGCCACTGCTGACGATATCAGTCTTTACGGTCAGTACGGCGGCATTAGGGGGTGTCTCAGTCTTTGAATACTTCTATCGGTTGTACAACCTGTTCCGAAAGAACTCACGCGCGAGGCCGCTGAATGCGCGAAAGTCATGGGTGAGTGGAGGGAACAGAATCATGATGCTGCTCCAGCACGAATGAGGACTGATCCAGTCCGTAGCTGGACTTTTTCCAGATCAACTTTACCATTGTGTGGTTGATCCTGGCGGTCGAGTTGATAGTGTGAGTCCATACAATCCAACGGAACCAACCAGGCTGAGTGATGCCGTGCATAGAGAAACCATGGCATCGAAATGGCTGACAGTTGGTTTCCCTTCTCTAGTGGAACGGTCCATCCAGTACCCTATGGTAAGCCAGGCTTACGTCCTCGTCGCCGGCGAATGAAATGATCGTGTCTAATTTTTCCAGTCCGTCTTCTTGCCATGCCCCTGCCCACGGTCATGTTCTATTTTGGTGGAGTCCACCTCTCGCTCGACATTCTCCGCATGTGCGGGTGTAAGGCGCCCTTTCGGATTTCCTCCACGCCCCAGGGCTCCACGATGCCCACCGCGCTCTATGTTCTCATCGAGGACATTGTCGCGGTGGATGGGGGTGGTGGCCAGAAATACCGGTATGCCCTGCGGACGCGATATCTGTCGAGCCCGTACTTCCGTCGGATGCTTTTCGAGATGAACTGCTTCTGGGCCGGAGGGTCTATGGTTTTTGCGGGGGCCATTACAGCAATCATCTTTACGACGCCTATCAATGTTGCTTATACAGTACGTCCTCTTGAATGATTTTTTTTTCCTTTAAATCGAAAAACTCACACGTATCCAGCTTGGCTGGGCTCTACCGTTCGGGTGGGCTGGGGTCTGGACCCTCATCACGTTCCCTTGGGTCCGAGCGGAGCTCCGCCGGGAGAAGGAGACCTGGAGTCGAACCCGCCGCGGCGAGCTCTACACGGACGACATCACTGTCAATCCGCGAACGCGGTTGAATTCGTTTCAGGACCGCCTATTCCATTTCGCGAGGGAAAAGCAAACCTCGCCACCGTCATCATCAGACGGTGCAGCCCCAGGTGCAGCTAACGGCGAACCGGCACATCAACCAGATCACGATAAAGAACAAGAAGAAGTATAGAAACATGTCCATCATGTTGATTCTCGGTATATAAACGAGTTTATGATAGAAGCAAACTTGCGCAGGCAAGGAGTCAGATATCTTTTCCAGTGTTTGTAAATAAATACCCTGTTCACTTGAATAGAGATAAAGCTTATCATTACGGTGACCTATCATCTTTTTCCCATTCTCAACCTACCTACCTATCTATCTATCTATCAAGAAGCCCTTGAGAACTTATTCAAAGCCAGCAGCTAATAATAATGCAAAGGAGAAGGAGGTGGTAATGATCTATGGGTATTATATGTACTGTTGAGTGCCCTTGTTGTATTCGATACCGTGGGGTTTATACGCCGCATCCGGGCATCAATACTGATACTGGAGGGTGTGTCGGCACTAGCTGGGTATAAAAGTGGACTGGAAGTGGACAAGATGTTTCTGATTCCGCAAGGAGCATAAGGTACCTACCTATCTTGTGACTATTAGAAATCTTCTACTTAGCCAAACAGAGCTGCCATGACTTAAGATTGTGAGGTAACTGAACAAATGGACGGGCTGGGTCTGAGCTCCTATGGCCTAATTCATGGGATGACTAGTGGTATTCTTGACATTATAGAAAAGTCTTCTTCGCTATAGTAAGTGTCGCGGTACAAGGTTGTACCTTGACGGATGGGGGGCATAGATGGTCCATCCTCAGATCACATGGTTGATCCATAGCCATCATGTGTAAGGATCATCCATATCATGTATGTACGTAGTTGGAGCATCCTTCATGGATCCTCCATCAAGCTCCGTAAGTCAATGGCATCTCCATTTAATCGCTACAGTATGCTTCTTAGGACTAGTCTTAGGGTTATATCAGCTTCCTGTCCAGCCCACTGGTTTCCTAGTAATAGGCCTGAACCTCTTGTTTAGATAACCTATTAAAGTTAGGGTTAAAGGTATAAACATTTAAAGGGCTATTAGCAGTAAGTAGTTTTAAAGATTTGCTAGTTAAAAGTCTTTAATAGTAAGGTATTAGCAGTGTCAGGGAGCATTATAGTAAAGAACTTATTACTTTATTGTAAGATAATTGCTAGCTAGTTTCTAAGGTTAAAGACATACCATATGCTCTTGCGCTTTTTATTTTAGCCCTTTTTTGTTTTGGTGTTTCCAATAATTGAAGGGCTCTAATTCTATAAGCGATAGACGTGTCCGGTGTCGCCATTCATTCAGTTACTGTGGTACTATTCTATTCTATATCATTTACTGTTCTTCTCCTAGCTACTCGACTGTGTCACGGTTGTTTTGTAAATTTTTTTTTTAGTTTCGCTCTGTTATGTATTTGATTGAAACTTGAAGAAATACCTTAATAAGGTTCTTCCGATCTATTTTACTTGAAATTACAGAAATTTCTCAGAATCATTTCAAATCATGCATATATATTTATTGACATCGGACCGTTTATAGAACTCTAGAGACCTTGGGCATGATTAGACGTGAAATCTTTTCTTTTCTTTTTTCTTTTCCCGAAAATCGTATTCAGGACAGTACAGAAATGACCTTTAGGAAGGAGCATTTTCGCCATACTACAGTACAACGACAATTATTCAGAAATCTGGCGGCTTGCTCCAAGAGAGAGACCTGCTGAGCTTCCACAGAAAGCATGCGCTAAGAGGACTTTGGGAATTGACTGTGTAGAGAGAGAGAAAGAGTGATCAAATCTATTGTATTTATTTCAAAGTGACAGACCTTTTTGGATTCTCTGCTTACTGAGGCGTAGAGCCCTGATACAGAAAATATAATCATATTCCGTGGCTGTGTTGCCTGTTATGTTACGAGGGTCTCGATTTCAGCCAGGCCTTAAATAGCTGAAATCAGGATGATTCCTAGGCTCGATATCCTGCCGTATCGATACTGGTCGACGAGTCGTCTTCGCCGGTCGCTAGCTATGAGAGAGGCTTAACATTTTTTGTTTGGAGAAGAACTGCAACAGCAACGCAACGCCTACACTCGAAGTCATCAGCGAATCCACAGTGGAGAAAAAGATTACCCCTGTACTTTACATACATAGGTTTGATGGATGCAAGCGCATGGGGCGAATGGGTTCACACTACGCAATAAATTGGTTGAGCATCAGCGGCCTGTTTCCCAGTCATATATGTAAAAAAAAAATCTCACATGATCCGTCCTCTAAAGTCGTTTCGATAACTTCCCGGCTTTACTATGCGAAGCAGGAGCGGCAAAGTGGTAGGACACACAGATTCATATATATAATCTTTCATTCTCTATATTAGCCACAATTCTAATAAAGCACCGAGTAAAATGAATCGGATATAGAAGAAGCTGTTTTGCGTACACAGTGCAACCTAAAGGGGAAAACCGTAGAGAGCAGCGAATGGAATCCCTATAAACATCCCACATGTAGTACAGAACAACCAGAGCTTGAAACTTCTCGAGTTATACAGACTCTGCTGTAGAACCATGAGCTCATTACGGATAAATGCATATCCTCTGCGACGAGTGTCTCCCTCCATCACTAGTAACTTGGCCGGTTCGTTATCTTTGAGCCAATACTGTGTAAGAATATCTCCGGTTCTGCTTCTAGTTACGGCTTGTGAAGCCGTTCCTTGTATAGAGCACCCAGCGTCGGTTGTTGAGGAAGGATCGACTTCTCCGTTCTCATTGTTCACAGCCCCTCCTATGATGCAATCAACGTGGGGAGTGGATTCCTGTTGACGAGAATCGTTTCTTTCTGTGGGAGTAGTTTCGGACATGTGTTTGGATAGGCCATCTATGTAAAATGTTAGAAACTTGGGCATTCGGATCTTCTAACCTTGGTGTCATCTACTGTACCATATAGCATCTCCGCGACTGCAGACGCTGGCAGGAAGAGAAGGAGCACCGAAGGGATCTGGCCAAAGGCCCAGTTATTTTCATCGCCTTGGAGACCATTATTGGGGGCATTGGATTTCAGATTCTCCAGAGTGATAGTCGCCAGAAGCAGCGATATGTATACCCGAAGAAGATCCACGACAGTCGAGAACATGAACTCTGAGAGAGTAAAGACCAAGATAAGAAACTCAAAGCGGAGGCGAACTTCCAGAAGAATTGGACCAGACTTTGAGGCTTGGTTTTAGAGGACTTCCTCTTCGTCCACACAAAGAGATAGCCAGGATATCGAAACACCTCTCGTAGAGCGCAATCTTTCCAATCCAAGTAGCCCGGATACAGGTCATCAATTGTGGCCACAAGATCCCAGAACAGGAGGGCGAGAAGGACAACATTGATCGCCGAAGAGTACTTCAAATCGTTCCAAATGCATTGCACCGAAAGCCCATAACTCTGAAGGAAGTTGTCACTGTATACAATAACGGTGCAGACAGCCACCAGCACGAAGATCGCAAAATTCCAGATTGCTCTCCAGTGCTTCTTTGCTGGGGCATCCAACAACACTTCGCACACAATCATCACTGTGGACTGATATGTGAGAAAAGAAACATGCCCAAGCAACTGGATGACTTTGAAGTGATACTGCGTCAGCGAGCAATGGCTGCAGAAGCCGACTATCATAATGGATGCACCGGTAATAAGCTTCTGGTCGCTAAGGGTCAAGGCAATCCTTTGGATCGAGTCTCGAGAGATTGGTGCCGAGGTCCTTCTAACCAAACTGACCCTCTGTTTGAGTCTGCGAATCCTATGGATTAACATGAGATCCAGGTCATTTAAATTGTCCCGGGAGATGCCTTCTTCGATGAACAGAAACGTGACGACAACGAATAGGAACGTCAGCCATGCCGGAATCAGAAAGCCTAGAAGAACCTGGTGGATTGTGTCAAGAATCACCTCCAAAAGCATGAAGAGAATGAGAGTTATCCACAGATATGGAAAGAAAGGTTTCGGAATAGCCGCGGTCAAAATGTACTTACTTACTCCAATGCCAGCCTGGATTAATCATTTAGATACCTCCAGCATGCGGTGCCATCAGTCAAGAATAGTGCTACTTACAATATCAGAGTCTGCGTCGAAAGGGATAATTCCACCTGTATATGTACAGTTCACTGGTTCCGAGCACGACATCATTGTAGAACCCTCACTTCTTGCCAGATTCCAGGACGGTGCCGGAATCCGAGACCTTTGTTGTATTGTCACAAAAGATGTAGGTTTGATTCGAAAAAATTCAGTGTCAAATATTTTGAGATCTTCATTTAAAAAGTGCAATGTCTTTGATGGTTTCACAGATGGGTTGAGTTGGTATAGACATATTCTTATCGGTTGGAATAGCCTATTGTGTCTCTTTGTGGAACGGTCGAGTTGGCTGTGTCGAAGCTCATGCGAAGATACTCCAATATATGGTCGCAACTCTGTAACAATTGATTTTGCTGTCATCTGAGTCGGAGGCGTGCAATACTGTCAGATTATTAGGCTGTACGAACAAGAAGGCATGGTCGTATGCGTTACTCATGGAATCTCGCTACTCTACTCACCAACTAGAATAGAACTGGAAAGGTAGTCAAGAGGGTAGTCGTAGAGTTTTGATGGATACAGATAATAATAGTTCCCAGGGCCTGAAGAACCCGGGCCGGGCAGGTGAGGTGGCAAAAAAAATTGAAAGATCCAATCAATCAATTAATCAATCAATCGACTATATAGGTAGTCAATCAACCAAATATATATCCAGTCCATCCGTCCATCCGTCCATCCATCTATCTATTTATGGTATCGATCCATCCATCCAATGATGATCCAATGATCCAAACGCACCGCTGATAGGTAGGTATCGGCCAGTTGGTGGATCAGCCAGTCAGGCTCTTCCAGCAGGGACAAACACACAGAGAGACAGGCACACACGGTATCAGAAACCAGAAATGACAAAAAAGAAAACACAGAAACAAACAACATAGAGTGAATCGAAAAAGAGAAAGAAAAGAAAAAGGGACTCTTTTTTTCAGAACGAGAGACCATAACGATGACGCCTCTGTGAAAGAAACTGAAATGAAGTAAAACAAGAAAAAAGAAAGAATTCAAGAAAGACACGCCATAGCGCCGAGATTCATGCATACATGCAATGCATACCCCAAGGTATATGTTTGTACCGGTTACACCACCAACTAGGTCAAGAGAAACAGAAGCGATTAAAAGGAATAAAGAGAAAAAGAAAACGAACGATATGCCCAGACAAAAAGATATCAAGAAAGGGAGGAGAAACACGCTGAGAACAGATGGATAAATCCCTACCCTGATTCTTTTTGTTTTGTGTTTCTATGTATGACCTGAAATCAGGTAGCTTAACCGCGATGGGGAAGGAGCTTCCGTCCGAGATTGCGGAACGTCTTCTTCCGGCTACATTTATCGCGAGTCAGCTTTCTGTACAGTCATAGTCATTAATTCCGCCAGACGACACAAGCGAAAGTTTACCTTTCGTCGTCCTCAGCATCGCCACCCCGAGAACTGGCCGGACGCGAAGGCGATGTCAATGGCCTGGCAATGGTATCATCATGATTGTGCTACAGACGGAATCAGCATACCCCTTCTCTACATGTGTGTATGGAGGGGGCGGGGGAACAAACCTCTCGAGAATGAAATTCCACACCGCTAGCGGACTTGGCCTCAGATATGATGATCGAATCGTGAGAGCTCTGCGTGGCGCTCGACGTGTGAGACGTCGATTGCGCAAGAGGATACGTGCTTGAATTAATCGAGTGATGCATGGACGAGCCGGAGAAATCGCCCGCGGAATCACGGCTTGCTAAATTCCGAGTGGCCGACGGGTTCAGGGCAATTTCTGAAGACGTAAGCATTTGAGACGACGACGCAAGCTCTCGGAGCCGCTGTTGCTGCTGTTTTGTCGGTCGAGGATGCGAGAACTTGTTCCCTAAGATCGCGGGAGCATGGGAGATCAACGCTTTGATGACATCTTTCTTCAGACGGAGAGCCAGCTCCAGGTTCGACCATGTTTTGTTCCGGTATTCGAGCACGGGCAACCGGAAGACGAAATCATGGACATCTTCGATGTTGCGCTCGCCTTTGCCCTTGTAACTCAAGCAGAGAACCACGTCGTTGATCTTGACGTGGGCGAGAATCATATAGTTGGACGCTCGAGACATCATCTGCGACAGATCGTCCGCCGGTTCTTTCTTGTTTGAGCCCTTGGTCAACGAAAACTTTTTGCTGCCTTTAGACTCTTCGCCTGCACTGCCGGTGCCGGTAGACACGTTCGTCAGCGATTTGTCTGTCGAGGACCTTGCCAAAGCCCGCAAACTGTCAACAGACTTCTTCTTGGAAGGGGCCGCTGACGTTGCCGTTGACGTTGACGTTGCCGTTGACGTTGACGTTGCCGTTGCCGGGCGGTTTGTCTGGACGCTTCTGCCTGACGGCGACAGCCGGTTGCTGTCCTTATTGGGACGCGTCATATTGAGACCCTTGAACCGGTTGGAGCGTTGCTGTCCTGATTTGCGCTGGTCCGGAAGAGATAATGTCGGCTGCAATCTCAGTTCAATCGATCCCGGCCCTGTGATTGACTGAGCGTCTTCTCCAGAAGCGCTGTCGTGGCTCTGCGGTGTTGAAGCAAAATCAGGAGTCATTTCCGCGTCCGACTCATCATCGTCTAACGGCTTCATCTGTTTGATCATGAACGGCGAGAAACCACCGTTCTCAAAGGCGTTCGACCCCACTCCAGGGAATATGTATTCGAACAGTTTCTTGCCCAGCTCTCGCTCAAGCTGGACCTTGAGCGGGAAGAGGGTCACCTCAAACTCGTCCAGCACCGGAATGCCTGCGACTGCCTCTAACATATACCATTGGACCCGAAGCATCATATCATCCTGCGCGTCAGAGCGGCGGTTCTGATCGACGTATGGGACGATCATCTGGGGGTAAACCGCATTCTCCAGCAGGTTCAGAGCATACAAGCGTTCGACCTCGATCAAATTGTAATTGGAGCCGTCGCTATTGTCGGTGCGCTCGTATGCCGCGTTTCGCAGCTGGAATTCCACCAAGGGCTCGTTTCGATCCCTCATCAGATGCCAGACAATGTCCGATGCGGACAAGCACCAGCGCAAGACCGCGTTTGCCTTGGACATGTTACGATCGTCGTTCTTTCTTTGAGACGTCGTGATGGCCTTCATGATGAAGAACAGCTCATCCTCGCAGTTGGTCAAGTCCTTCTCAAGCGCCATGCGATCCTCCCAGCCTTGCTGGTCCAGGTACTTGGAATGAACCTGGAAATACTCTTTGATTTCCTCGAGCTGTCGAATCCGTTCTTGGAGCTTGAACACCATCTCGGGAGCTCCTCGGAGATCACTGAAATCGGAGGCGAGCATTATTTTCTCCAGGCGCTCGCTTCTCACCTTCTCCAAGGGCTCGCTGTACAGTAGCAGATCGAGGACAATGATATACATCGTGTAGTACTCGGTGGAATCGCAGATGGCTCTGACATCGGGGAAGTCGACCCAAATCTGGTCCATCCTCCCCTCGCTGTGATCAGGATGATTGGCCGGGTCATCGTCGCCTCGGTCTACCTCCTCATTGTACTTCAGGCGGAGATTGTTGTACTTGTCGTATCGCAGACTCGCAGACGTCCTCTGAATGATTCTCGAGAAGCCAAAGGGATTGAGTTCAAAGTCGAGCATCGCTTCCATGGTCAGCCAAGGCGGCCACGCCGAACCGGGAGGATTTCCATATTTGTTTCCGGCGTAGAACTGAAGATGGGCCTTGAGATTCTTTTGCGTCGCCACAAAGAACTGTGCGCCATCCATGTCAAGCGCAAACCGGCGCTGCACCAGACCACTGACATCATCGGTTACACGGCGTTTGTCCATGATGGACAAAACTTTGAGCGTCATTCCCTTAGCCGCAACCAAAACAACTGACCGTGGGTTTTTGTCACTTTGAAGCTGGATCTGAGGAGCGATGAGGCGAAGATGGTAGCTGTTCTGGGGCGTGAAGTCAGGAGAGAGACCGTCGCTGAAATCACCGGATTTTGGACGCGTTCGGTTCGATTCGCCAGTAGTCGTCGACGACGGCTCATCCGCATTCACGTATCGCTTTGCATCATGTAACAACTGTTCGATGCGTTCCTCCACGCTCTCGTCATCATCTTTTTCGTTCGATGACTGCTCAGCCGACGGCGCCGAACGATTGAGATCCCTGCGCTTTTGTTTGTTCTTGCTCTGCTCCTCGACAATATCCGCAATAAATTTAACAGCTCGTCGCGACATGTAGTATACGAAACCGCGTCTCTGGGTGACTTGATGGCCGTACCGTAAGATGATGTTCCTGAGTGAATTGTTCCACTTCACCTGCGGATTGTGGATTGTGAATCTGTTGTTGAACTCGCTAGCCAATCCATCATCAGTGAGCGCGAAGTCGCCATCCATCTCCGGTTCGTCGCCATCAGTGTTGGACTCGGAGTTACCCCCAGTTCGTGATGACCGTATGCTACCATGTTCTTCTTCTCTGCCATCGCGATGCGATCCGTCTTCGAAGATCAGCTTCTCAAGATGGTGAAGCATGGCAGTGAGAAACTTCCGCCTCCTAGCAAGTGACTCGGCCTGCCGAACGAGCAGATCGTGCTTGACTTTCAAGCCGGAGTCATCAGAGCCTTCCTGGACTAGCTGAGCTTCATGCTCTCTAAGGAGACGTTCATGGTTCTCGGCCTGAGCCTCCAAGATGGAAAGACGGTCCTTGACGAGTTCCATCTGCACTCTGCGCGGATCATTGTCCTGGGCCATGACACATTCGTGTGTGGGCTCATCTCCAAACCGACTGAACCCAGTGTCTGCTGATGTTGTATCACCATGGTCTGTTTGCCGGAAGTAAGTAAAGCGGGGTGTGTATGCGAGAGGCAATATCTGGGTTTTGGGATTCGATTCTTGCGGAAGGATCCAGTCCAGCTCGACGAAATCATCCATGTCAATCCAGTTAAGGTCCTGATCAGGGATTGTGAAGCGGGATAGATCGACCGAGGATACTGGCTGCTGGAAGGACGAGATTATGTCATCTGTGTTGCGCTCGATATCTTCTGGACTCGTTCCCTCAATACTCGCAGAGACAGCTCTAAAGTCGGCCGCTTCAAAGTCCAATTCGGCCCGATTGATCCGCATTGCACTAGATTTGATCTGTTTAAGACGGCCCCTGATCGGATTGTTGACTTGCTCACGCCTTTGATGAAGATCGAGCTTAAAGTTGGCCAGGCGAACTTTCAGGCCGGTAGCAGTCACGACGTCCTCTCCATAATCCTCCGGATCCTTGTGTTTGTAGATGTGTGAAACAAACAGGGGGGAGAGAAGTAGCTTATACTTGACAGTCGCAAGATGGCGACCAAACTTCTTGCTCGTCTTCGTGAGACCAGGCCAAAGAGGCCCTTGACGTACAGGCAGTGACATCACTCCGGAGAAAAGGGACCACCAGCTGAAGAAATGAGTGAAGACGCGAGGAGTCAAATGGACCGTGTTATAATTCGACGATGGCGGCCGTTTCGAGGAGGGCGTCTCCATGTTGGTTGGTGCGCAAACAGCGAGAGACAGATGGATATGATTACTTCGAAAGCCTCTAAACGCGTCATAGTCCTGCAGTACTTATCAGCTAAGACGAAAAACCATATAAAACAGGTAATTCCGCCGTCTTACCTTTCTCTGCGATTCATCGATATACTTGGGATTCTTAAGGACTACCTCGTAGTGAGGCTTGAAGTTGAAAGATCGGCCGTGATCCACATCGCGCTCGAATACCAATCCTGCAAGCCACCGAACACTGCCAGACAATTTCATCACCACCTTCTTAAACATGGCGGCATTCCTGGCACTGTTTGTAGCGGTGGATTTTGCATCGTCGTTGGCGTATTCGTAGGAGGAACGTGCTTCATTGCTGTAATCCGGTACGGCAAGCACGTACTCTCCACTGGTGACGCTCATGAACTCTTTTGGATCGTCGCTCGTGTGTATATCCCATTGGACATCCTTGCGCCAGCACATTACAAAGCCCGCTCCAAAGCCCGTTATTACATACGGGTCGCGGGATCCTATAAGTGGTTAACAAGTATATTAAATATTAAAGACAGTACGTAAATCCAGGCACATACCTTTCAGCCGCAGATGAACATCACCGTCACCTTTCCAGCGCACCCGAATCCGTGAATGGAAGTTCAGCCGTATCTTGTCCCAGAAGCCAACTCGCTCGGAAGGATCAATTTCCGGCTTGGTGAAACCTTCGATAATCTTCATCATGTCCTGTATAACCGGTTGGTAGGACATGCACCAGGTGATACTGGTGGGAAGACTGGTGTTGATTTCAATAGTCGGCTCAGAGTATGTCTTGACAGGCCCAATAGTCCGTCGAACGTCGACGAAGAGCCCTGGCGTTGCAGAACCGTCAGGAAGCTTAGTCGGAGGAACGACGCAAATTTGGATGTCCCTCGTGGATTCATAATTGCGAAATTCTTCAGCAATGACGAAATTTGTTTTCAACGACCAACTGGGCAATCGAGAAGACTGGCCAGGACGCAGG